CTGCAACCTTAATTCTTAACATATAGATATGAGTACATAGTTCTATTCCCCTCTCATTTTACACACACACCTGTATTTAGGCCTCTATAAATGTCCTTTGCCTCCTGGTTCTTTCCTCTATTTCCTTTTTACTTCCATCTTATCCCACCATCACGCTTGGCCTTCATTTGGGTTTAACGTGTGATGAGTGAATTATGTCAATAAACTGTTAAAATAAAGGCCCATAGTACTTACCCAATGGTGAAACCATGCATCCTGACCTGTAAGGTTGCATCAACCCAGTTTCCCTGTTTGTTCAGAGGCGTGGGTCAGAGTAGGTCTTCTTGGGCATGCTTTCATCTTACTTAGGCCACTGGTTCATCTCTAAGGCTGATCCAGAGAAGTAACAGGAAACCACCCCACCGACTACCCTGCCGAATTTCTAAATAATTTCTCACTCATGACATGTTCACGAGGAGGGCAGATTTTCATTTCCAAAGCTGGCTGCCCATCTGCCGTGCCACAGACTCTTCCTACAATGCAATCAAAATACTCTTCCCAAGCGGTGACCTGGGTCCCTGCGGTGATATTTCGACTGCTTCCACAAACGGGATGACAGAAACGGCATCATGTACATTCGAAGAACCTTGTTCTCTAGGGATATCTGCTCTTTAAACCCAGAGCCAAGTTGTGAAGAAGCCCAAACTAGCTCACCCAGAGACCAGAGAGATGACACGGAGTGTTCCAGCCAACAGCCTGGCTGGAATCCCAGCTGACAGCATCATTGGCTACCGGTCATGCAGCTAACCACACCCTTGACAAGTCCCACCCCTGACCATCAGGTCAACCCAGCCTTCCCATCTTACCTTCCCAGAGGATTACCCAGACGCTGCGGAGCAGAGGTAAGCTGTCTCCCACTGGGCTTGATCCAAATTCCCTTCCCTCGGAACTTAGGAACATAATAAAATTGCTTGACACTGATTTTTGAGTGATTTGTTATGCACCAATATCTAGAACAGCAGGAACTGTCAGCATCAACCATGCAAGCTTAATAACTACACAAAGAAAAGGGAATTCAGACTCCAAGTCCGTATTTACTGAATCATGACATCTCAACATGTGCACTAATGGGAACAGTAACGAGGAT